GGAGACTGATGAGAATTAGGCTTGAGATGGATTAATGATTGTGCATTGAGCATTGACCCCCCTATACAGAATTTTATTGTTGTCAACAACCATTTGATCAATAAATATGAGAGATGCCCTCTCAAAAAAAAAAAAACAAAGAGTTTCTCTATTTCGGAAGAGAAAAGAAAAGCAGCAAGATTCAAAGCATGAGAGGAATTCAATACAAGGGAAGTTCTCCTAATGAGATGGGGGTGGAATGGGACAAGGATCCAAGAATGGCTGAGAACTGGCCAATATCAAGTAACTTGGACCTCAGTCTTACTATCACAAGAAACTGTTTTCTACCGAGAACAGGAATAGGCTTGGAAGCAGATTCTTCCCCAGAGCTTCCAGGTAAGAGCCCACCAGCTTATACCTTGGCCTCAGCCTTAGGAGACCCTGAGCAGAGAATCCAGGTAAGACCACCTAGATTTCTGACCTGCAGAACTGTGAGATAATGAATAGATATTATTTGAAGTTGCTAAATAAGTGGTTATTTATTATGCAGCAGTAGAAAATGAATCCAAGGGGCAGATGCAGGCAACAGAAAAACCTGAGTCACTCCTTCATCACAGCCCACTCTGTCATCTCAGAAAAGGTGCACCTGTGTTGACTATTATTCTCCCAAATTACCCACCATGTAACACGGACAGTGTCCATGGTTCATATATTAAATATTCTAAAATAACCTTGATTTGAAATATTTCATTAGACCACATATTCTCATGTTCAATGAGTTACCTTATCTAGTTGGCAAGCATTGGTCATAGGATCACAGCAATGCTCTTTGTAAAATTCTATGTTCATAATTCACAAAAGCAAAATGATAGTTAATACCCATTATTGTTAGGCATCTTATTATACAACCAGTAATCCCTACAGTTTCCCTGACAGGCAGATATAATTCCTATCTTGGGGCAACAACACTGAAATCTGAATGGACTACAGATCCAAAGACAATGAGTGGGACTGGAACCCTGGTCAATCTTACTCCCAAATTCAAAAAACTCCAAAATTCAAAACTCTACTTAGGAGTGGTATATAGGTCTGTAAAATGGGCTGTGAAGAAAGTAGCTTAGTAATTACGGAGTGCCAGCCGGGACATGGGCACATAGGGAGGTAAAGCCAAAAGGTACTAGGTACTAGGTTTATGTTGCAGATGATAAAACATTCCAAAATTGACTGTGGTGATAGTTGCACAACTCTGTAAGTATATTAAAAACCACTGAATCATACAATTTAAATGGATGAATTGCATGGTATGTTAATTATATCTCAAAGAGCCACTTTCTAAAGAAGACAGTAAGAAAGGTTTTGTAGGGGCAGCTGAAGTTATAAGGCTAGGGACACAGGTAAGGAATGGATGGGATGCTAAGTCATGAAAAGCCTTGTATATCACCCTATTCTGACCAGAATCTGTTCCTTCAAAAATAATGGTTCCCCTCAAAGGGTTTTAAATAAGGGAGTGAAGATCCTATTAGTTTTAGAAAGATGCCTGTAGTGGCTGTATAATGATAGGTTTGAGAAGAACACAGTGCTGTAAACTAGGCCCGGTGAAGAGACTCTTGCTTAGCTCGTTCTAAAGATGAAGATGACCTAAGACAAACGGAAAGGAAGGCGGCTTTGCGAAACAACGCTGAGAGAAAAGCGATGCACCTTGTAAAGAACCTGAAATAAGGGAGAGGTAGGAGTGAGAGAAGACTGGGGATTCTAGCTTGAGAGTCCAGCTTTTTAAGGATGCTGCTGTCCAGCCCCTCTGTAGAGTCTGGGGAACTGGACCCAAGGTAATTGTGGGGAATGCAGGGGGCAGTTAGGTAGCTATAAATTCTATTTAGAGCCTGGGGCTCAGCCCTCCACCCCAACACAAATGATACTGATATGTGGGTCCTATACCCAGAGAGTCTGATTAAACCTGCCTGCCTTTGTGTATGGTCTGGGCAGTGGAATTTTTAAGAGCTCCTATGTCATTCTTACACACAGCCAAGGATGTGAACCTCCAGCTTGCACAGTTCTCCTCCAGTCGAGGCAGTCAGAAAAGTCAGTCACAGCTGTTGCTCACGAACTGCATGAAGCCCGGCCATGCAGACTTGCTCCTGCTGAACACAGGTGAGCCTCCCTCATGAGCACCTGCAGTGTAATGGGCCCATCCCAGAGACAGTGTCACTGATGATGGGCTTTACTACAACAGATGAGATGTTAGATGAGGAAGAGACTATTTGGAATCAGTGGGCTCGCTAGCTCTGTCCTGTGGGCAGGAAGCATTCCCAGTTGCTCTGGTTCACTGATCATCAGTGTGTGGTCCTCAGGCCAGTATCAACTTCATCTGGGAAATCATTAGAAATTCAGATTTCTGGGCTCTAACCCTAACCTAATGATCAGAGACACTGGGATTGAGGCCAATAATCTGTGAGTATTTTTTTAATTAATAAACTTCTTTTTAATTTTTGAAATAATTCTAGATGAACAGGCAATTATAAGAATACAGAACAATCCCATCACCCTTTGCTCAATTTATCTCAATGGCAATGTCTAGTAAAACTACAGTACAATATTACAGCCAGGATACTGACACTGATAAAACCAAATTAAAACACAGATTATTACCCCCACCAGAGGATCTCTTGTGCTGCCCTCTTATAGTCACGTCCACTTCCCTCTTGCCCTCAGCCCTCCTTAGTCCCTAGCCACCACTGACTCAATTTCTATAATTTTGTCACCCAACAGTGTTATATAAATGGAATAATACAGCATATATTTCTGGGGAATTGGCTTTTTCACTCAATGTAATTCTCTGTAGAGTCATCCAGGGTAATGTGTGATTCAGTAGTTTGTTTCTTTGTATTGCTGAGTAGTGTTGGACCACATGGATGTGTCAGCTTGTTTGACAATTCACTTTCTGCAATCTTGTTTTAATAAGCTATCCAGGTAATTCTGTTGCATGCTTTGAGAATCACTGATCTTTAGAGAAAGAATTTAAAATGATAGGAAAGAAATACAGCACTTTTCCAGTCCCACCTCCCACTCGCTGACTCATGAGCCTTTTCAAAGACACGAGTAAATGACTTTGTTCACCTTGGCCACTGCTGCTAACACCGTACTCTGTATCTTGCTTATCACTCCTGTGCATTTTTTTAAGGACTGATATACTCACTCAACAAATATTTATTGTGGTACTTCCTGGTATTCTAGGCACTAGGAACACGGCAGTGGAAGAGGCTTACAGGTCCTCGCTCACGAACAGCTTTCATGACAGCAAGACCAGAGGAGGCAAAAAACAAGTAGTCAGGTCAAAATAAATGCCAACTGCCTAAAGCCAAATCAAGCAGAATTCACCCTGCTGAATGGGTGTGAGACTCCATCATGGAGTCTTGGGGTCTGATGGGCCCATATAACTACACATTTTAATGTACTAGTCATTGCAGAAAGATTTTATACTGAGCAACTTATACTTTAGCTAAAGAAAGGAGATACTTGGAAATATTACTTATAATAGCAAACACTCAGATACCCAAATACTCAATAGAAGCGAAATAGATGGGCAAATTGTAGTATGCCCCCTCTAGAGCATGATGGAGAGTCATTATGATTATTCAAACTAAGTAACAGCATGGAAAACACACGTTTAAAATTATACAGGAAAAACCAAGATACTGAATTATATATACTATATAATTCCAACAATATTGTACAAAAGAGAAAAGGTTAAACTTTAGACAAGCGGATGAAAAAATTTTGGAAGACTATAATTCTAACTATCTTAGGATGATTCATGAATACCTTCTTTGTTTGAACTCTCTAATTTCCACTAAGTTTCATTATTTTGGAGCTTATCTGTCTATATCTAAACACTTTAAAATAGTAGTAAATGTAGTTGATATTATGACATGTTAGTGGCTTTTGTATCTTTCAACTTAGGGAAGAAAAGTTACACAGGCAATAGAGCCACTTCCCACAATATTAATTTCATAGATCAGGATGCAGCAGGGTGGCCATAGCAAGGAAGATTCTCTGGAGTCTTCCCAGGATACTAGTGCCTAGCTAGCTGTATTACTCAATATGAGTCCTATGTTATGAAAACCTCCTGGCTAAAGAGGGGTCTACTAGTGTTCCCAGAAATTTTGAATAATATCACAACTCCCCAAGAAAATAGGAAATAGCAGAAGAACGACCAAGTAGGAATCATGTCCCATAAGTCACTCAGAATATCTTCTTAGCACTGTCAAGGTAATGAGTATATTACTCTCAGAAGCCTTGGCAAGAATCAAAACAGATTTGCTGCAGATAGATGGAGAATGCGACTTGCCCATTTTTACAGTGCTCTAAAATGTCTTTGATGTCCTTTTGTGGGGGTTTTTTTTCCCACAACTAGAAGTGGCAATGATAATTTCATTATCAACCAACTTTGGATGATATGGGAAAACTGCTTAACAATAGCATAACTTCATGGCATCTAGGAAGCTTGGCTTTCAAGAAAGATAGTGCTTTTATTTTATTCAGGCACATATTCAGAGTTTGTTTGTTACTATGGAATCACATATGATGTCATAAATTTGACATTCTAAATGCAAATAGACTGGGCCACAGAAGCAAAAGGAAATGGAGCTGGGGGGATGAAAACCTGCACAACAACAAAAGAAGTTCAATAATTAAAAGAAATGAGTCAAACATCTCTGAAACAGAAAAAGAAGGTGAGTAAATTGAATGACCTAGAATTTTGCCAAAGAGCTGAGGAAATATAGATGTCAGTCCATCATTTATCTCAGGGATTGCTTTACAACAATCAAATAATTTCAGATAACAACATGTTGAGAAAAGGGGAGGAAAAATAAAAGAAATGAAGAGTGGGGTGGAAAAGGAGAGTAAAGCATACAGTACAAAGCAACCCAGGAAGTCAGCATTTACTGAGCATTTGCTCATGTGCTGGTGGTAAGAGGTGAAAACACAGTTGCTATCTTGGAAGAATGCACAGCCTAGTAGGAAAGGGAAAACAAAGTTCAACTCAGTGCTCAGTAAAAGTATGTATAAAAGACACAGGCAACACAGAGGAATGTTTAGCTTTGGGAACTTCTCCCAGGTCATGCTGAGCTGAAATTTTTTAAGAACATTAGAGGGAAGAAGAGGTTACAAGGAAACAGTGGTATAGGCAAATACAAGTCATTTGGCAGAAGAAGAATACAGACATAAACTGTAGAGTGGAGGGCAAGTGGGAGGTAGACAGTATGCATCAAGAGACTCCTGGTCTAATTAAGTGAATGAAGAGTGTATCCAGAAGTGAAGCATATTTAGACTTATATTTTACAAATACTATGCTAAATAAATGGGTAGATGGATCTAGAAGTTGGGAGGATTTGAGGCCATGAAATCTAATCAAAAGGCTATATTCTAAGAATGAGGCTCATGATGATTTGAAGCCTGGAACAACACAACGATAATAGGGATGGAAAGGAAGGATTGGATTTTAAATAGCTCTTAGAATTATATGGGAAGATTTTACGATGATGGCATGGGGGTGATGCAAGGATTTTAGGATTAGTTCCAGGACCACACAGCTATGCCATTCTCTGCAGTCCAGATGAAATCAACTGAATCAACTCACATGGATGAGATTTTTCCTGGATGCAAGGCACACAGCATAAAAGGATGAACAGACTCCCCCTGAGCACCTTGGTCTAGACTAGAGGTTAAGCTCCTTAAACAGATAAGTAACACTAATTTGATCACATTACAGCTACTGAATTAGCATGAAACAATACAAATAGTACTCCAATACAACAGCATTTCCTACAATTGAAAATGAAAACAAATACTTGGATAGGCGTCTGTGATGTTATTTTCTTGGCTCTCCTACGTGGCCTTCTCTGTTAGTTTATTAATAGAAATCTCTTTTCACTCTAGATGCTATGAGTAATTAGATAATATGAACAGAAGATATGCCTTCAATAGATCTGTACAGGATTAAGGTCCTTGATTTTAAAAATCAGACTAATATTGTTGAGGCTTAGATCCACAGAAACTTGGAGCTACAGTTCACTAAGAAAACAAGCAAGAGATGCTTCAATTCTATATGACAAAAGAAAAGCTCCATAAATAGCAATCTTCAGAGTAATGGAGAAAAATGAAAGTTATTCTGTGTGAGCAACTTTTTTTTTTATTAAGGTATCATTGATATACAATCTTATGCTCAGTTTTCACATGAGCAAAATTGTGGTTGCTATATTCCCCCCTATTATCAAGTCCCACCACATACCCCATTAGAGTCACTGTTCATCAGCATAGTAAGATGCTATAGTTACTGTCTTGTCTTCTCTGTGCTAAACTGCCTTCCCCATACCCTCCCCACCATACTATGTGTGTGCTAATCAAAATACCCCTTAATGCCCTTCTCCCTCCTTCCCACCCACCCTCCCCAACTTCTTTCCCTTTGGTAACCACTAGTCCCTTCTTGGAGTCTGTGAGTCTACTGCTGTTTTGTTCCTTCAGTTTTTGCTATGTTCTTATACTCCACAGATGAGTGAAATCATTTGGTACTTGTCTTTCTCTGCCTGGCTTATTTCACTGAGCATAATACTCTCTAGCTCCATCCATGTTGTTGCAAATGGTAGGATTTTTCTTCTTATGTCTGAATAATATTCCATTGTGTATATGTACCACCTCTTCTTTATCCAGTCATCTACTGATGGACACTTAGGTTGCTTCCATGTCTTGGCTATTGTAAATAGTGCTGCAATAAACATAAGGGTGCATATGTCTTTTTGAATCTGGGATCTTGTTTTCATTGGGTAAATTCCTAGGAGTGGAATTATTGGGTGAAATGGTATGTCTGTTTTTAGTTTTTTGAGGAATCTCCATACTGCTTTCCATAATAGTTGAACTAGTTTACATTCCCACCAACAGTGTAGAAGGGTTCCCCCTTTCTCTGCATCCTTGCCAGCATCTGTTGTTGCTTGTCTTTTGGATGTTGGCCTTTCTGACTGGTGTAAGGTGATATCTCACTGTGGTTTTAATTTGCATTTCCCTGATGATTAGCGATGTGGAGCATCTTTTCATATGCCTGTTGGCCATCTGAATTTCTTCTTTGGAAAAGAATCTGTTCAGATCCTCTGCCCATTTTTTAATCAGGCTATTTGCTTTTTGGGTGTTGAGGTGTGCTGAGTTCTTTATATATTTTGGATGTTAACCCCTTGTCGGATACGTCATTTACAAATATATTCACCCATACTGTAGGATGGCTTTTTGTTCTGTTGATAGTGCCCTTTGCTGGAAGAAGCTTTTTAGCTTGATGTAGGCCCACTTGTTCATTTTTGCTTTTGTTTTCCTTGCCCAAGGAGGCAACTTCACTTTAAAACCAAGTCCTGCTGACCCCAGGAACTTCTCCCATCACATTTCCCGAGCTACCATTTTTTAAGTGATAAATGCCTCATTCCCCAAATCTATAAACCAGCAAATTTCTATATTAAAGAATATTTATATAGTTCTCTGATGTGTTATTTTTTTACTCATGCTTGTTAGAACAGGGGGAAAATGTCAAAAATTTATATATTTTTCATATTGGCAAAAAGACAAGTTCTGATTTTTATTTATCCTTTTACTTCCAAACCCAAGGCTTGTAATGCACCTGAGATTAAAAATTAATAAACATTCTTTGTTTCCATATTAAGAATGAAACTACAACAAGGTACTCAAAAGACAGCCTTGAAGCAGAGAAAAGACGGGACTCCGAGAAATCAGGAGGTCATCTCAGCACTCAGGTGAGCTGACCTCTTCAGAGCTGGTGAGAGAATTAAAGAGCAGAAAGCACATTGGGAAATATTAGGGGGCAGGGGAGTTCTTTGTGAGAAGACTGAGCTGTAAAGATCTGTATTAGGAGATACCTAATATCCTCAAAGAGAGGCTAAGGGAAAACCAGGAGAAGCTGGGCCCTGCCTTCCCCTCCAGTGCACATCCCCATGTTCACGCAGAACCTCTGGGGTTGAAACTACAGTCATCTCCTCTGCTCAGCCTATGGGAGGAGACTGGCCTTTGCTCAGATCCGGGAGGGAAGGGGAGTCTGACCACCACACTGACCATTTTCTGCACAATCTTCCAGATGAGGCGTGCAGTCAATCCGAATCACTCGCTGAGATGTTGTCCCACTCGGGGCCACTCGTCGTGTAGATGCTGCCTTTGTGCAGCTGAGGGAACAGTGCTTCTTGGCCCCTGCCGCACAGTTCGTGTGTATATTCACATGTGCCTGTTGTGGCAGCAGGGCCAGCAGATCACCATGATCAGGGTGAGCAGAGATCAAATTACTGATTTTGGAGGGGAGCTACAGGCTACCTGGGTGAGGGGAAGGACACGGGGAAGAGAAACTCACCCACTTGTCTCTCCATGATCTCCTCCACGCTTGTTCCCCCGAAAAGGAATGCTCAAGGGCTCTATTCCTTGTGTAGGTGCCAGCTGCTCTCACCTTTGAAGTCTTATAAAAATTGGCAGCTAGGACTTTCTAGAATTTGCCAGCAGGCTTATCCTTAGGGAGAAGGGAGGAAAAATGGTCAACTCTACTTGTTGCCTATAAGAGCTCTGAGTCACATGTGAGATACGAGATTTGGATTTGTTTCATGGTTTTGGATGCTCTTCTGGGTGGATCCCCACTTTGTTGTTCCTCAGAGAAGTCAGGTTTGGGCCAAAGCTAGAATACTACACAAGGGCAAGGCTGAATTAAGGGACATAGAGGTCAGGGACCTTCTCACTGGGCTTTGCTGTGGTTAGCCTGACATTGTTATTCTGTAGGCACACGCAGGGAAAGAGTGGGTAGTGGGTATTACACTCTTGGGTCTCTTCTCTCCTCAAAAGGGAGCACAAGAATTATCCTTGCCAAAGGAAGACTCCGGAGGGCACCTCACACGAAATCAGTGGTCCCGAACTGCACGGAGCCCCTCCACCAGAGCTCCATCAGTAGACGAGCCAAAAAGCAGGAACACCAGTCTTAAGGTAGAGAAGAGATGAAGGGGAAGAGGACATAACAGAATAATAATAATAAACATTCATTAAGGCTTTCTATGTGCCAGGCCCTATTCTATGTACTTTATATGTTTTAGCTACTGTAACCCTCACAAAAAAAGCCCTGTTAGCCCCATTTCACAGTTGAGAAAATTGAAACAAGAGTTATTTGCCTAGAACTTCACATTACTAGCACTAACAGAGCTAGATTAAAACCCAGGGGCTCTAGGTCTTTAAGCTGCACACTTCATGTTCAAACTCTATGGCTCTCATTGCTTTTTTCATTTACTCAATAACTACTCATTGAGCACCCAAGACTCAGGAGGGGGGCAGGATAGAAAGATCAACAAAGGAGATAAATTGTTGAAGAGTGTTAGATTGTACAGCACTTGGGGCTCTTAACTAGGTCTAGCTCCATAAATTTTGAGATTAAGTTTTTGGATTCAGAGAGAATACAGACCTAGCCACTACCAACCCATCGGTCTCTGTGAGCTCATTAATCTAACCAAGAATATGCCTTTTGAAACAATTACAAAAACAAATAATATATGGATGCTTAATAATATATTGCACACTTCAGTAATGGAGTCCTTTCTCTAGAATGGTTTCTTCCTATTTATGAAGATGCTTCTCTCCATTTGAAATCCACTGGCACACAGAGCTCTGAAGGCAATGGGAAAACACTCAATACCCCAGCCTACCAACCTTCCCAGCAATCATTGTATTAAACACTAGGCAAATGTGGAAGGAGATGCCCCAAGGGGCTTTGTAGGAACATCTGGTCTGGTTGCTCATGGAGTTACCTGGAGGTCACAGGTGGAGAGAGTGGCTAGCAAGGACCCTTACTTAACCTTTCTGTCCAAACTGAAGGTTCTAATCAAGCAGGTATACCAGAGGCAAGTGACAGAACTTTGCAAACTATGTGCCAGCTGTCTTTTAATGGCAAGGAAGAGGACCTGTGCTCTATCTGCTCCAAGAAACAAACAAAAATGTGAGGTGCTGATAGAGATGCTAGGGGAAATGAAAGCAGACTGTCTTTGTCCACTTAACAGAAATGTCTAATACCTTGCAGCACAGAGCTGAGATTATCAAGGATCTATCTAAGGGCTAGGAATGAAACAGAAGGGGACAGGTCCTTGACTCCAACTGATCAGAGATGGGGACAAAGACCCCAGAGGAGCATCCAACTCAGTTGCCACTTTCTTGCTCCAGCTCCCCACTAGCTCTGCAACCTCCCAGACTTCACCCACCTCCCCCAGCCAGCAAGAGTCACCGGGGGAACTGTCAGCAAAGCCATCGCTGCCCTCACCGCCCGCGTCCTCCATGCCTTTCTCACATCCGCCCACGCCCCCGGATCACCAGTCCCAGGCGGGGTCTTGGCGCAGCACCAAGATGCACGACAATCCGGAATCCGGGGCTCACGGCATGGGGCGGGAGATCCGTGAGTCCCGGGACGCCAGGGACACGCATCCCCGGGACTACCCGCGCACACCCCCCACAGAATGGAAGTCCTTTGCCCAATGCAGGGCGCTCAACCCGTCCCAGATGGACCGTGACTCCGTGTCCGACCAGACCCAGAGGCGGGAGGAAGAGGATGACTACGACGAAGCCTACTGGGCATCCGTGCGGACGCTGTATGAGAACATCCCGGACTGCTCGCGCCCCCGGCTGGTGAGCACGCCCGCCGCCCTGTGCCCGGGGCTCCCCTCGTGGAGCCCCGTGGCCTGGACCTCTCCCAGCTCCCCCCCTCCGGGTGGAGTGGGGAAGTCCGTCCCAGCTCCCCGCTTCTCCTCCCCAGACCTCCCACCTACGCTCTCAGGAGGGGCCCCGCCCTCGGCTGTCCAGCAGCCCAGTGCTCAGCTGTTCTCTTTCCGCCCCCTCTTGGGATGCATCCTAGTACCGCTCCCTTCGGTCTGTGTGACCCCCGTCCCGGTTTGAAGAGTGTTAGATTGTACAGCACTTGGGGCTCTTAACTAGGTCTAGCTCCATAAATTTTGAGATTAAGTTTTTGGATTCAGAGAGAATACAGACCTAGCCACTACCAACCCATCGGTCTCTGTGAGCTCATTAATCTAACCAAGAATATGCCTTTTGAAACAATTACAAAAACAAATAATATATGGATGCTTAATAATATATTGCACACTTCAGTAATGGAGTCCTTTCTCTAGAATGGTTTCTTCCTATTTATGAAGATGCTTCTCTCCATTTGAAATCCACTGGCACACAGAGCTCTGAAGGCAATGGGAAAACACTCAATACCCCAGCCTACCAACCTTCCCAGCAATCATTGTATTAAACACTAGGCAAATGTGGAAGGAGATGCCCCAAGGGGCTTTGTAGGAACATCTGGTCTGGTTGCTCATGGAGTTACCTGGAGGTCACAGGTGGAGAGAGTGGCTAGCAAGGACCCTTACTTAACCTTTCTGTCCAAACTGAAGGTTCTAATCAAGCAGGTATACCAGAGGCAAGTGACAGAACTTTGCAAACTATGTGCCAGCTGTCTTTTAATGGCAAGGAAGAGGACCTGTGCTCTATCTGCTCCAAGAAACAAACAAAAATGTGAGGTGCTGATAGAGATGCTAGGGGAAATGAAAGCAGACTGTCTTTGTCCACTTAACAGAAATGTCTAATACCTTGCAGCACAGAGCTGAGATTATCAAGGATCTATCTAAGGGCTAGGAATGAAACAGAAGGGGACAGGTCCTTGACTCCAACTGATCAGAGATGGGGACAAAGACCCCAGAGGAGCATCCAACTCAGTTGCCACTTTCTTGCTCCAGCTCCCCACTAGCTCTGCAACCTCCCAGACTTCACCCACCTCCCCCAGCCAGCAAGAGTCACCGGGGGAACTGTCAGCAAAGCCATCGCTGCCCTCACCGCCCGCGTCCTCCATGCCTTTCTCACATCCGCCCACGCCCCCGGATCACCAGTCCCAGGCGGGGTCTTGGCGCAGCACCAAGATGCACGACAATCCGGAATCCGGGGCTCACGGCATGGGGCGGGAGATCCGTGAGTCCCGGGACGCCAGGGACACGCATCCCCGGGACTACCCGCGCACACCCCCCACAGAATGGAAGTCCTTTGCCCAATGCAGGGCGCTCAACCCGTCCCAGATGGACCGTGACTCCGTGTCCGACCAGACCCAGAGGCGGGAGGAAGAGGATGACTACGACGAAGCCTACTGGGCATCCGTGCGGACGCTGTATGAGAACATCCCGGACTGCTCGCGCCCCCGGCTGGTGAGCACGCCCGCCGCCCTGTGCCCGGGGCTCCCCTCGTGGAGCCCCGTGGCCTGGACCTCTCCCAGCTCCCCCCCTCCGGGTGGAGTGGGGAAGTCCGTCCCAGCTCCCCGCTTCTCCTCCCCAGACCTCCCACCTACGCTCTCAGGAGGGGCCCCGCCCTCGGCTGTCCAGCAGCCCAGTGCTCAGCTGTTCTCTTTCCGCCCCCTCTTGGGATGCATCCTAGTACCGCTCCCTTCGGTCTGTGTGACCCCCGTCCCGGTGGCCCCTCGCTGCAGCCCAAGCTCAAGCATGCCATCACCGTCGCGGTGTCATCCTGGGCGCTCTTCAACATGGCTGACGGAAGCAAGATCTACGAAGAGGAGGGTCTGGAAAAGTACATGGAGTACCAGCTTCACAACGAGAACGTCATCCTGACCCCGGGGCCTGCCTTCCACTTCGTCAAGGTACCCTGCGAAGCCCTGGATGGCGAGGGAAGGCCCCGGGCCGGCCCTGGACCTCATCCGGGTCCCCTTGTCATTCCTGGTCCACCCTTACTGTTCTCGCCCTTTGAAAGTTGACCCCAGGGCAGTTTAAGCTTTCGCAGAGGCTCCAGACTGTTGAGGAAGGGACTCCAGCCCTAGATTTGCAATGCTGAGCTCTTCTAGGTGGAATCCTAACCACCAGACCTGGAACAGAAACCTCTGTTCTCTCCTTGGATGGAGCAGTAACCAGAAGCAATGAGTTTACAGTTCTGAGTAGTAGAAATAAAAGTCCTCGTTAAAATTAGATGAGATTTCACTTTAGCTTTCCATCCCTAAATACAGCATACTTAGAAAACCAAGATGCTTTTGGCACCTAGGATAATGATTTTAATACAGAAAGGAAGGTTTTTCTAACCTTATACTGAAATGTATAGCACTTAAAAGTCTGGTCCCGTATATAACTTATACAGATATTACACAATAACACCATAACCAGGCAGTAACAAATGATACCTCAACAAGTTGTGAGCAGAAATTACTTATGGGGCATGGTAACAGCACGGGAGGAAACCACAAACCTATTCCAAAGACTCATGTCTATAAGCAGACAAAGTGCTCGCTTTGGCAGCACACATACTAAAATTGGAACAATATGGAGACCATTAATTAGCATGGCCCCTGTGCAAGGATAACATGCAAATTCATGAATCATTCCCTATTTTTCACGAAAAATAATAATCAGATGATCGAGAGGCAGATTTTATAAAATCCCCCCCCCTTCAAAAAATAGAGCAAAAAGGGGTTAGCCTGATCTTTCTAAGTATCCAGTAGAGATAATTCTAGTAAATCAAATGTTGTAACAATTTTCAACACATATTACCCATCTATTCAGTAAACATTAACTGAGGTCCTGTGTATCAGAGACTGCAAAAACAGATATTAATGGCATACCCTCCCATAAAGGAGCCATAATCTTTGAGTGAAGTCTTTAAAGCTTTAATTTGACACGGATGAGATCTCTTCTCTTGAGACACCCAATGCCCACCTTGCCTGGCGTCTTCACACACATTTGTGTTTGTGACTCAGGCACTGCAGCACGTCAATGCTAGACTCCGTGATCTGTATCCTGATGAACAGGACTTATTTGATATTGTGCTGATGACTAATAACCATGCCCAAGTGGGAGTGCGGCTTATAAACAGCGTCAATCACTATGGTAAGTAAAATAAATACCATGTGGGAGAACAGCTCGCTGCTCTGGAAGAGAGAAGCCATGTTATTTTGCTAACTGTGGCCTAACTAATGCAGTGTCTTTGATACTGAAACCCCCTTCTGCGTGAGGAATGTTTATTTGCCTATGTCAGAACAAGAGAGGCCATGCTCATTTTTAACTTCAGCACAGAGTTGGGCCCAAAGCTCTGGACTTAACTTGTCAAGTGTGAATTTCAAAGTCTTAATCCCAGATCCTGCAATATATTTCTCTGTTTTATGTTTTTCACTTCTGAACTTGACTTCAAGGAGCCGTCAACCCAGAGGCTTTCTCTGGGTGATCAAACTTCTTGTTCACCACAGATACACGTTAACGGTTTAAAGTTTTTCACTTTTTCCTTTGCACTCTTAAAACATGATTCTCTCTCCACACACATCAAATCCATACTCATGCCAGGAAAATTGTCTTTATTCCTTTACATGGAAAATTTGATTGACTCTCATGTCTTAACTCTCGTGTCTTCAGAGTGTATCCATCAGTGTGTTGGAGACTTAGTGTCAATTTTTCCTGTTAGGGAATTACCTGACTTCTTATCTGGAGACCTTTGGCCTATTATCTAAGTGACATATTCAGTCTTATAGAAATGTCATGTCAAAATAAGGTTTACATTTGGCATATTTAAATTTATAATTTAATTTATAATTATACTTTTATAGTTATTATTTTATATTTATATATATCCATAAATAAGATATATTTGCAGCTTATGAATTTTATATTATCCTAATTATAAGGCTGATGTCTTACTAAGACATACTTTTAAAAATGTTTGCACTTCAAAATGCAGCCTTCATAGGATTATTACATGAAATGAGAGAATGTATATAAAAGCTTTAGCATAGAAGAGTGGCATAATCACTCAGTAAACAGCAGTAATTATTTTCACAACACATAGTCTTGTTCCATTTAGCAGGTGATTTACATCTATCTATCCTTCACAACACTGAGCCCAGCCAGGCTAGTACTATAATGAATTATTTACATGTTAATTCTACTAATGAATGGACTGAGCCTAATTTTCTCATGCAGGCTTGCTCACAGAATAACAACCATTTACCTGAAAGACTTAGGTACTTCCCTCCTCAGGGTGCTGAAAATATTTTATATTTCTCTCTTGTTACATAACAAGTATGTTTATATTCCTGGCCCTTCAATGAACTGTGATCTTGAGAAGACAGATGATGTTTTAATCATTTCTGAAATAATTACTGATCATTAAATTAATATTATTTAAGAATTCGTACACTTTTGTGCCACTTATGCCTAATGTTGGCTTAAGTGAAAAAGTGAGACTATTCTGTTAATACCACAGCAAACACTCCCACCTTAACTGTTGATGGATGCTATCTACTGTCTTGGTCCATACAGATAATAAACAACTGACTGGACTCAAAATTCTGCTTTCTATCATGTGCTTTCTATCATAGGTCCTTGAATGGGTATGTAATGTCTTCTATGCATGCTATACTTTGACTGTTTTCACACGGTTAAACAATGTTTTGCTTTTATAAATAATCCTGCCCTAAGAACTTCTTACATAAATCTTTATCAAGAGTTTCAGATTTCTCCAGAATAAATTCCTTAAAAAAAGAATCCTAAGTCAAAAGGTATAAACCTGTTAAAAGCTCCTGATACATACTGTCAAATCACTTTCTAGATAGCCTGTACCAATTTATATTTTCATCCATAAGGTTTGTGGGTGCCTGTTTTACAAACCTCTCATCTAGCGGGTTTTTTATTAACTGTTGTTGATTTGCAAGGCATTCAATGTGTATTATCAATGTTTAGTCTGCTAATAATTGCATTTAAAATTTCAAGTCAGGGAAGAGACAACTTTAGACCTTTTGCTGATTTTAGAACACAGTTCAAATCCCAGCATTATTTGTTATTAGTATTGTATTGTTATTGAAAAAATACAAAAATGGTACTTAAGATAGAGTTGCATTTTAACTGGCCCTTTTGACAAGTGAGTTCTATTCTGGACAATCAGTGTGAACCAGTGGACTTAAATATCCAAATTTTTATGTGTCAGGTTCCTTTTTAGTAATGAGGATAAGAATGCCTGCCCTGCCTCTGTGAGAATAAAATGGCACAGTCTACATGGATGTACTTCAAAAGCTGTCATGCACACATCCACTGTCATAACATATCTGAGACATTGTCCCATACTGAAAGTTTGAAGGCAGCTCTAAAACCTCAATAGGCACTGTTATTCCTAAGGTGACTTTAATTTGTATTTACAGTAAGTATGTTGTCTTTAGTCTCTGATAGAGCAAAATCCTTCTTGCCCAATAATAGGCTTACTAATTGACCGCTTCTGTCTGACTGGTGGAAAAAGCCCCATTGGCTACTTGAAGGCATATCTTACCAACTTTTATCTCTCTGAGGATTCTGAAAAAGTACAAGAAGCAATACAAGAAGGTATTAGTTTGCTTTTACCCCTCTAGTTAATAAAGAAGTTTGTGTTGGTTTCCCTTCGGATGGGTTTCGTATATAACTATGTGGCTTATGTCTTTGTTGAATTTTCCACAAGGGGTCTCCACGAGTGGCAGCCCTTGAGTTTGTCTTTTAGAGCTTTGACCCTCGTGGAGGTGGACACCCTCAGTCATTGTCCCACAACCCATTTAACACTTTCCCATCCCTTATAGAGACAGAAATAGTGTAGACAACTGTTTTGAGATGTGTGGTTGTGAAGAGGAATTTAGTCAGCATGTAATAGCTAACAAGGAAATGCAAGGTCTGGGAATTTTTCTTTTTAATGGTAGAAACTAAAACTCATGGCCCTGAGAAGAGTATTAATCAGTCCTCATGTTTGGCCAGGGATAGCCTCTGCAACAATGTTTGATGGAGTCAAAGACATGGCTTACTGTGACACCCAGCTCCGTGTGGCCTTTGATGGGGATGCCGTCCTCTTCTCTGACGAGTCTGAGCACATTGCCAAGGAGCATGAGCTAGACAAATTCTTTCAACATGAAACACTATTTGAGAATAAGCCTCTAGCTCAGGTAGGTTCAAAGAGCTCTAATTAATTTTGATCTACTTGCTTTCATATATATATATATTCATTGTAATGGCTTCTACGTTGTTTTAGGAAGGCCACTCCTTACTTCACCTTTTCATTTTTCTCCTTCTTTCATAAACTCCTCATTTTGAAGCATCTGCCACTGACATTTTTTAAATTTCAGCATTCTTTTGTCTACTGTTTTGAAAATGTTTCTATGATCTTCTCATGATAGTCCTTAAATTATGCGTAAGAGAAGTAATAAGCTTACCAGTAAGCCATTTGTCCATAGCAGGTTCTCAAAATAGTAAGGTCATTTCCAATAGGTCAGTAAATATTTGTTGCATCTTTCTGTCCATAACCTCAAGCTCCATAAAGACATCACTTAATTGAAAAAATCTGTAAAACTGAGAGCTTAAAACTAAACCAAATGAGCTTCAAACAAGTACAAACTATGAACACTTAATCAAAATGAAACTAAGTATTTAGGTGTTTGGGGAATCAATCCATGTATTGAAGGGTTGAAGTCATAGTCTGAAATGAACAAAACCCATTTCTTAACAAACAGAAATGGAAACCATCAAAATATTCTCCAAACTGAATTTGAAATGATAGATCATTCAGTTTTAATCTATGAATCTTAACCAAGGATTTAATCAGCCTTTTTCCCTCAGCTCTTCTTGAATTTAAGATCAACTTAAATATACTATTTTCACTTAAGAGCATGAATAGACTAATTGAAAGCTGAAAAGATTTACAAACTCGTCTCACATTACTGCAAGTGATATTTAAACTGTGTGTGTGTGTTTAACTTCATAGTTCCTTCCTAAATAGCTTCTTTAGAAGCTTTGATCTTGTGTCATGAAGTCATTCAGTGTTAACAAAGTTTTGTTATATTTTACATAAGTCTGTTTTACTGAAATTCAGAGCCCATTGTTTATTAGCCTTATTATTGAAATGTGGAAAAGCTCCAAAAAAGAACAAGAAAAAAAAGAGTTACTTCAAGATAAGCTTCAATTAGCATTTTCTCATCTCAGGGAAATAATCCAAATATCTTTTTGATCTTGCATTTATCAGTTCCTTTTTCCAAGTTTTCAATCATTTTTTTCCCAATAAACAACTAAAATTGTGAAGCCTAGCACTAGTTATTGCAGGTATAAATGACAAATTTCTATTCAGCATACTTGTTTTCATTATGCAGTACTTCTGGCAGTGGATAAAAATGCTGTTTTTTTACATAAAAAGGGTAGCTTTCCTGTAAAAATCAGATTTTGCCAGATGTGTTTCACTGATGAAAAAGAGGTTACGAGATACTATTCCTACCCAAGGATTTCAAGTTTGTTGGTAAGGGGCTTGTGGTTTGGTTATGACAGTGTCCCATTTGTCTCAAATGGAGGAGCTCTGAAAGTCACCAGCAAAAGGGACAGCTGGAGAGGATTGATTTGGCTACTCTCAGCTGATAAACCTTCAGTGTGGTACCATGACTAGTAATGGATGTCTCTTGATTTGATACGTACCTAGTCCCACCATTCTGGAATAGTGGTCTCCAAGTGTGTGTTAGTGAGTGTGTGTGCTTTAATCTGAGTTTTTGAGGTATAATTTACATATAGTAAAATTCATCATTTTTAGTGGAAATGCATAGTTGTGAAACCACAACCAAACTAAAATACTCAACATATTCGCAAAATTCCTTCATGCCTGTTTGCAGTCATCCTAGCCTCCTGCCTCCAGGATCGATCAACCACCAACCTGATTTCTATCCCAAGAGTTTTACCTTTTTCAGATGTTATATAAATGGAACCACACAGGATGCAGTCTTTTGAATCTAACTTGCTTTATTTAGCATAATGCCTTTGAGTCTTATCCATGTCATTCCATGTATCGGTAGTTTGTCCCTTTTTATTGCTGAGTAGTATTTTGTTGTATGGATGTACCATCTTTCTTTATCCATTTACCTACTGGAAGATATTTTGGTCTTTTTCAGTTTTTGGCCTTAATACATAAAGCCACTTGAAGCATTTTCCTGTAAGCTTCTGTGTAAACATAAGATCTCATTTCTCTTGGCTAAATACCTAGGAAGACGATTACTAGGTCACATAGCAAGTCTATGTTTGACTTCAGAAGACACTGCCAAACTATTTTCCAAAGTGGCCATACAACTTTGCATTCCCAACAGCACTGTATGAGACAGTTTTGTTGTTCTGCATCTTTGCTAGTATTTGACATAATCAGTGGTTTTCTGTTTGTTAGTTTGCTTGTTTTAAGCTTTTCCAGTGGTTATATAATGGTTTCTTACTGTAGTTTTAGTTTGCATTTCCCTAATGACAAATGATATTGAGCATTTTATCAGGTGATTATTTGTCATGATATGTATGCTTTGGCAAAAACATCTGTTCAAATCTCTTGCTTATGTGTACTAGGTTTTTTTTTTATCATTGAGATTTGAAAGTTCTTTATATATTCTGGATATAAGTTCTTTATCATTATCAGATATTTTCTCTCAGTCTGTGCTGGCATTTTCATTCTCTTAATATCCTTTACTGTCTTTTGATGAGCAGAAACAATTTTGATGTTCAAGTTACCAATTTATTGTTATGAATTGTTTTTAATGTCATATCTAAGAACTCTTTGTCTAACCCAAAGTCATAAATTTTTCCCATGTTTTTGTAGATAAGTTTTTAAATTTTAAGTTTTATTCTTTTAGTATTATGATTTAACTTTAGTTCATTTTTCAATTTGTACAAAGTATTGGTTAAAGTTCATTTTTACTACTTATGGATATCCTTGTTGTTCCAACACTATTTGTGGAAAAGACTGGCTTTCCGTTCCTTTAATATTGGTATCTATCCTCTTACCAGTATCACAGTCTCTTGTCTTGATTATCATAGTTTTATGGAAAATCTTGAGCAAGGTGATATGAGCCCTCCAAATTTGTTATTTTCCAAAATTCTTCTGGATATTCTGATTCCTTTGCATTTTCTTATACATTTAACAATTAGCTTGTCTTTTTATGGAGGAAAAAAGTATCCTGCTGGGATTTTTATTGTGATTGTGTGGAATGTATAGCTTAATCTTGGGAGAATAGATATCTTAACAATATCAAGCCTTTCAGTCCATGTGCACATATATCTCTCCGTTTTACTCATCTTTGATTTCTTTCATCTGTATTTTGTAGGTTTCAGCATGCAGATATCACACTTATCTTTTTAGATTTATACCTCAGTATTTTATAATTCTTTGGTGCTATTAAAAATGATACTTTAAAATTTTTAACTTCCAATTTGTTTACTGCAAATATACAGAAACACAATTATTTTTGTATAGTGACCTCATATACTGCAACTTCCTTGTTAAAGTCACTTGTTAGTCACAGTAAAATTATTGTAGATTATTTGGGACTTTCTACACAGGGAATGTTGACTGTGAATAAAAACACTTTCATTTGTTTCCATTCTTTATGTCTCTGATTCACCATTCTTGCCTTGTTACCCTTGTTAGTATACTCAGTATGATGTTCCACAAGAGTCATGAGAATGCACACCCTTGCCTTTCTTGGTCCCTGATCTTAGGGGGAGATCTTTCAGTCTTTGGCTCCTAAGTACATTATCTATAGGTTTTTTTCAAGATGCCATTTGTGAGGTTAAGCGAGTTGCCTTCTATTCCTATTTTTTGAAAATTTTTATAAGTGTATATTGACTTTTGTCAGATGGCTTTTCTGTATCTGTTAAGAAAATCATGTGGCTTCTCCAGTTTGTTGTTACATAAATTATATTGATGGACTGTAAAATGTTGAAGCAGCTTTGCATTGCAGGTAGAAGTTCAAGCTGGTCATGTTGTGCTATTCTTTTCATATACTATTGGATCCAATTTGTTAAAATCCAGTTTAGAAACCTTTTGACTTTATATTCTGTAGAGATAATACTGTAGTGTTCTTTTAATATTTTACAGAATAATGCTGACCTAATAAAATGAGGTGGGAAGTATCTTCTCCCCATCCATTTTCTGGAAGATTTTGTGTATTATTTCTTCTTTAAATATGTGGTAATATTCTCTAGAGAAGCTATCTGGGCTTGGACTTCTCTATAAAGGAAGATTTTTAACTAAGAATTCAATTAGTTTTAATAGCTATAGAACTACTATTCTGATTTTCTTTTTCTTCTCCTTCATCTTCTGGCAATTTATGAGTTTGCATTTTTTTTCAGACCAAAAAAAGTGAATTTGTCCATATAAGTCATTGAATTTATAAGCATAAAGTTTTTCACAAATTATTGTGCTCTTACTATTTTTAGGATCTCAAGTGATGTATCTCTTTTCATTCCTGATATTAGAAATATTATTTGTCTTCTCTCTTTTTCCCCATTGGTCAATTTGGGTAGACGTTAACAATTTTATTTATCTTTCCAATAACCAGCTCTTCTTAAGTTTTTAAAAGGTGTATACTTACGGCCACTGATTTGAGACTTTTCTCTTCTAAAATAAGCATTGAATACTCTAAAATTTTATCTAAATGATGACGTAGTTGCATCCCACAAATTTTGATTGGTGGTTTGTAATTTTCATTCAATTTAAAGCCTTTTAAAAAATTTCTCTGATTACTTCTTTGATCTATATGTATTTTAAAATATATTTGATTTATATGTACTTGTAAGTTGGGTAACTGTCAAATATTTAGAATTTTCCCAGACAGCCTTCTGTTATTGATTACAAGTAGAATTCTCTTGTAGTCAGAGACTATCTCTTCTATAACTTCAATTCTTTAAATATGTTGAGGAATGTTTTATGCCCAGAATATGTTTCATATATACTTGAAAAGAATGTTTATTCTGCTATTGTTGAGTATTTAATAAATGTCAGATTGATTAAGTAAATTGATAGTGTATTATTCAGGTCAGGCTGCCCAGGTTTTTAATATTGTCAGTGACTGTCTACTTCTTCTATCTACTATTGAGGAGGTGGCATGGAAGTCTTCGATCATCCCTCCTTTCAATTGTGTCCGTTTGCTTC